CAATAATAGACTCAATCGTAATTCATCTCCAAGACCAATTATTTTCAGAATACTTTGTTGTTGATCTTTACTACCATTTGTGATCATGCAATGTTTTGACTTATGCTCTTGACATCGTTTTCGTTTACTGTTCACATTTACTTTTAAGAGTATTTGATCGTTACATCCATCATAGAGCGAACCAAGACTTCCTGAGGAGTCAACAGCCTTGCGATTTGTAACATATAATGTTTGTTCGTTTGAGCTGGCAGTGGTTGATCGTAGTGTCATACAAGTTGTGAATGAACGTTTCAAGCTAAAATTATAAAAAAAAGTCTAAATCGATTATATTTGGGACAAAACTGATTGAATTGAAACGTTTAGTGGTTTCCAGAGTAATGTAGAAATCTATGATTTGATACTGCATATTTCGATTACACGAGATGTAATGCTTTCGTAGAATAAGATGGTTTGATAAGGTTTTAAGGAACACAAAGAGCTTGTTATTATAGAAAGAAATATTTATTAATATCTTGGTATAACAATCTGTATGCTAAACTTAAAACAATAAATATGTTAACAGTTCAGAATTATATAAGTAAAACAGAGTCAATTAATTAAGCATAAAAAGAGTTAATTACGATCTCTAATGTTTGATCTTATCGAAAACCGATGCAATATATTTCTAGAACACAACCCTCTATCTTCAATGTACGAAGTCTATTTTTTATCGGACTTTAATCTCAAATTAGAACAGGTTCATAAAAATTGTTGAAAACTTTAATTAGGTCATGTTCTCTAGTGTTGTAGGAATGTGTTTAATGAGGATGATTATTACGGTCACTGAGACGACCAAACCCGGTACTGTGTACTGTCGTTTCATGCGATTGGCGGTCGGAAACAGCTATAGGCTCATGCTTTGTATGTCCAGTATTATGACCACATTTTATTGTGCTGTGCACAATTGATAAAAATTATCAAATGGTCTAATAATCGAGTAATTGACTTGACCATTCACGATACAATGAAACATGATCGTAATACTGGGTCTATCAAACGGCAAAAATTACAAACACCCCTAATCATTGTTTCGAATATTTTTCATTGTAAAGGAAGGGTTTTTCTATAAAATGAGACATCAGCAAGATATGTACGATAGATGTTCGAATTTTTATTTTAGCCTTACGAAAAACTCTAAAGGGAACGAGACCTTCATTTCAAGGCATTTTCTAAAATTTCAGTAAAAAATGAAACACGTTGCACGAACTTCGAAGACATGCCGCTTTGTAAGAAAAACATTTTCTCTATAAATTTGTATATAGAACCATATTGTCCTCAATAAATGATAATGAGTATTCTCAGAAAACAAATTAGAAGAAAAACAAGAAATATTTAGTACATATCTAATCATAAATTTTTCTGTTACCAATTTTATATTTTTGTAAAGTTGACTCAATTTTATTTAATACTTCTTTTTTAATTTTGTTTCTATTCGTGAGAATCGCATCCAATCAAAGAATCAAGAGAAACTTCTTTCATAACGAGTAATTTCAATTTAAAAATTATTTTAAAAAACTATGAGAAAATAATTAATATATACAATTGAAATCTTTTCTTTAAACTTAATAATTACTTGAACTTATAACAAACTATTTTTTACATTATGTTTTATTAAAAAATAATGTATATCTATATGTATTCGAGAGAAAGATCTTATTTCAAAAAAAAAGAAAAAATATTAACTAATTATAAAAGTCCTATAATTTTTAAAAAAAGAATATTTAACGAAATGTTCGAATGAATTGATTCAGTAAAATTAAAATTTTAACGTTTGGTTTTTGTCTCTTACCTTGACAGCAACAATATTTTTTTTCTACTTCTGTCTTTTGGTAAATTTAAAAAATAAATCAACACTCTTGTTTTTATGTAACCACGTGGAGAAGACTTTTTTCTCGTAGTTAACAAATAGAACGGAAAAAAGATACTCATGTTGACAAAAACTCTCCATTTTAAGCCAAAAGATCAACAAAAATATATTTATAAATGATAAAAAAAAGTTCTTAATGTTTTATACTTTTCACAATAAACAATATGGAAAATTCGCAGGCTTTTCGATATATTTTTTAAATAAAAGCATAAAACAATTTTTTAAATTATTTGTTGATAGATTCAAAGATGAGTTCTGTAAAACAATATATTCCAAGATCAAGTTCTTATGCATCATCTCAATCCGATATAAATATTTTAATGCTCGGTGAAACAGGTGTTGGCAAATCAACATTCATTAATGCCTTTGCTAATTATATTATTTATGATACACTTAATGAGGCAATTAAAAGTGAAATGCAAGTACTTAAGGATCATTCATAAAAGAAATCCATGAGAAATGGATGGTCAAAAGCTTCTAAACCGCCAGGAACTCATTAATATGAATACTTTCCTTTGTTTTTACCTGAGTTTCGACAAAATTTTCAAGGTTAGCTTATTTTATTATTGATGTTGAAAGAATTTAAGATCATACTAAATGAGGAGAAAATTGTTATTTTGTAGACTAGTTATATAATATTTTCGAATGCTCTTGATAGTGAACTTCATTTATTGTATTACATTTCTATTTGTGATAAATTTATTTAATAAACTTTTGTGTCATAAAAAAAAGAAGCAGTATATTCCAACAAGTAGACTTTTCTCAAAGTTTCTTTCTTTTTTTTTTATAAAAAATGTTAAAACACATTGGGTAGCTCTTGGTCAAACAATTTTAGTCCTGATAAGTTCTATATGACGTCCAGAGAGAGAAACTCAAACAATGCAATTTTGATGTAAACGTTTTTTATGAACGATCCTTTATACCTTCTACATTTCATATAACTGATTCACATACTGAAGAAATAAAAAAAATTTTGATTGGAACACCAAGTGATGATGAAAAATGTGAAGAAATTGGTCAATGAAGTACACAAATTTATCAAAGTTATCTTTTTCCAATTGGAAATCGTTTATTACGTTTAATTGATGCACCAGGTATTGGTGATGTAAGAGGGTCTAACACAAGATGTAAAAGATTGTGATCATATTCTTGCTTATGTAAATCAATATGAACATTTAAATAGTATTTGTATATTACTTAAACCAAATCATGAACGATTAACAATTAATTTTCGTTTTTGTTTTAAAGAAATCTTAACACATTTACATATTAATGCTAAAGATAATCTTGTGTTTATATTTACTAATGGACGAGGAACATTTTATCGACTAGGTTTTACAACTCCAGTAATTCGAACTCTTATTAAAGAATTAAATAATACATGGAAAATTGAAATTTCATTTAATAAAGATAATACATATATATTTGACAATGGAGCATTTCGTTTTTTAGCTACATATAAAAATGGAATAAAATTTTCAACAGAAGAAATTACAAATTTTAGTAAAAGTTTGGAAATATCAGTGAAAGAATTCACTCGACTTATTGAACGTATTCTTAAATATGAATTACATGCTGTTAGAGATAGTTTATCAATAAATGCAGCTCAACAACTTATACGTAAATCAACATGACAAATTGGTGAAATAGCTCGACTTATATACAAGAAAATATTCAATTAGCTAAAAAAACGTAAAAGTAATGTTTTAAACAATCCATTATCGACATTACCAAAACAGATATGACAAAAGAATGGAAAAGTAGTTCGTTTCGATTATCCACGTACAATATGAATAAATGAACAATGTACTCAAATGATTGGTGTTGATGATCAACGAAAAATCAATTATGTAACTAAATGTCATCCACGTTGTTATTTACGTGATGTCGAACAAGAATGTATTGGACATTCAATATTACAATATTGTCATGCAATCAACAAACGCACAGGTTATTGTTTTGTCTATGATTAAATGCAAAAGTACTTATCAAAAATAAAAGAAAACAATAGCTAGTATAAAAATACTCATCAAGTTTATAGATAGACAGAAGAACTATAAATAACTCGACAACAAAAATACTCAATCTTTTCAGGACTATGTTTTTCTCTTTTATAGATAACGCTTTAAAATTTTTTAGTCATAAGGAAACTAATATATTAAATACTGTATAGAACTAACATTATTGAAACTGATAAAGACATACGCTTGTGTTTAAAAGTATTACACTCTACAATCTCCGACGTTCTGAAAATTATACATTTAAAACTTTTATTACATGTAATATCTTAGTACTGTAGATTCACAAGACTCGCCCAATGCCGATTGCTTCACTTGAGCAAGAGTTATAATGTATGAAAGGTTTTTTTGACTATGAGTTCTACAACTGAGAAAAGAAAGAGACTTAGGATCGAATCAACCTACTATTATGTAGAATATTCACAACTTTTGAACACTTCGATGAATTAACATGTTATATGCGCTAAATATTTTACATGTCGAACTTGAAGAGTGGATAAGATCACAATTTAATAGTTTCCTTATCAACAAAGAATTTGACAGGCCCTCTATCATTGTATGAAAACCATTACTTCATTTCTTAGTTTGTATATTGAATTGTCAATTTTTTTTTCTTAGGTTTATGCAAAGTATGTGGATGTAATTGGAAAAAACATATGCATATTTCATATGAATATGAAACATATATAACCCATGTCGCGATAAATAATACTAATTCCCAATCAGTATTAATAAGTATTGATGAACGTATTCATGCTTTAAGATAAGAAGAAGATTCAATTCTTGACGTGTGCAATAAACTTTCCCAATTTTTAAAGAAAAATTCAATTACACCTTACAATGATGATATTCTTGGATATATACGATATTTTGTTCGAGAAGAAGAAATGAAAAGAAATGCTGGTGCTAATAATGTAGAGGTGATTCGAGGTCTTAAACATATGATTGAAGAATATGAACGTGAACAAAAATTATTTGATGAAGCTTTTACTAAAACAACAATAAACAACATCTTTGACTTCAGACTTTATACATAATGAACATGGAGTTGAAAATATATTCGGTTTAGTAAGTCAGCTCTATAAATTACCTATAAATGGTTTAAGTATTCGACAACAAGTTGAAGAATTAAAAGCAAAATAATGGGTAGTAAGTGAAAAACGTGAACATTTTGTTAAAGTACCAATCAATGCTAATTCTTCTAATCAATTAATAATGATGGTAATTCGTTTATAATTAAATTAAACTTTATTAAGTATATTTACATTTGATTATTTAACAGATAAATTTTATTTTATATTCGAATTACAAAATAAAAATTTTTATTTGTGATTTTTTTTTTACAATAAAAATATCTTTCATTATTTAACAACATTTTCCTACTTATTGATCATATAACGAGACATTTCTATAGTTTTTACAAACATTATACTTAGAACTGACCAAAAGTTCTGATCACGGTTCTTAAAAGTCCTTGCCAGATAAGGTAATCTATTCAGAAACGAAAAACCAAATATACCATGCTGTAGAGATTTTTGCAGCGCGCGTCGAATGGTATATAGTAAATCCTGTTTTCAAAAGACTTCAAAGAAACTAAAGTCAATTTACTGATAGACGACTACAGACTAACGCCCAAACATGATAGATTACTGAATATTGTGACCCTTGATATAAATCGCAAGTATTTGTAAAATATTTTTTTTTCGCATAAGATTTTGTAAAGTTTTGACGGGCTACAATCTCATATAAGTAGCATCTCTGGTCATTTTGTCGTTATGGGTATGAGCGAGTGTGGGTGTGTAGTCGTCTATCAGTAAATTGACTTTAGTTTCTTCGAAGCCTTATGAAAACAGCATTTACTATATATTATTCGACGCATCATAAAAAGCTCTACAATATGGTATTTTTGGTTATTTCTTTCCGAATCGATTATCTTATCCGACAAGGGCTTTTAAGAACCGTGATCAGAACTTTTGGTCAGTCCTAAGTATAGGGTTCAACGAATAAATACATCCAACTGTCGAACGTCATTCATCTTCATATGATGGCTACAAGTAGGCCCCAGTAAGACCCAAAAACTCTTAAAAAGTATTCGAGCGCATGACCTGCTGATGAAAAATTTGTTGAGCTACAATTTTCTCAATGATAGAAGCCTACTCATAGTCATTACATAAAGTCGAACTATGTTTCACAGTTTGAAATGTTCATTTTTCTAAGAGAAGATATTATTTGATATTTTATATTGATATTATTTTATTATCATTTGTTAAATTTTCTTGAGAAATATCAATAATATATTCCGATATAAGTGGATATTCATGCATATATTTAATCCATTGATGAATATTTGAAAGAATATTTTCGTCTAGTTTTAATTTAAGAATTTCTATACGTTGTTTATAATTATTTGTTAATTTTTTTAAACCTTCAACTATTTGTAAATTTATATAATTTCGATTTCGATTTTCATAAATAATATTTTCTTCATTAATCATTCGTAGAAAACCATCTAAAAATGGATCACTTTGTGAATAATGAGCCATATGTAATAAAAAATAAGCAAATATAACATTAACATGACATAATAATGTTAATTGTTCGATCATATTATTTTGAATTTCAATTATTGAACTATTATAATCTTGTAAAAATTCAATTGGACTTGGTTGATGTGGATAATTTTGATTAATATAATAATTATTATTTTCTATTTTATGTAAAGAATTATCATTTAAATCTGATTCAAATGATACTTTTAATTGATTCATATTACTACATATAATTTTTCGAAGAATATTTCTTATTGTTTCTAATATTGGATGTATCATTTGAACAATTTCAATTTCAGCAGATCTTATAGATTCAAATTTATTTGGAATATAATATGGAGAAAGTTTTTTACGAATATAACGTATAAGTCGATATGCTTCATTTGTTGAATTTAACCAACTTATTTGATATTCTTGTTTTTCATCATTATTAAATTGAATTTTATTTTCTAAAGCAACTAAATAACGAAATGATTCATTATCAAAACAGAATGTATTCTTTTTTTGAAATGGAATATCACTAATTGAAAATGATGAAATCATATGTTGAATTAATGAAGTAGTATTTCCTGGTGTATAAAATGTTGAACGAGAATTAGTAAAACAAAAAATAATATTATGACGAGAATTTGAACCTAATAAATGAAATAATTGAGTTAGACATGATCGAAAATATATATTTAATCTTGATTCATTTGATTTAAGAAATATACATATAGCATTTAAATATTTAAATTTGTTTAGATATTCTATAATATGTTGCATATTAAGATTATCTTGTTCTATACCTCGTGTGTCACCAAAACCAGGTGTATCAATAAAACGTAATTTTGTTTCATCACTATTATGAAGACGATAAATATGTGATTGACAACGTTGTGTAACTGATTGACCAGGATATTGAAAATTTTCATTACTTGATTTATCTAAATTTCCAAGTTTAATATCATATTCTTGTCCATTATCATCAGTAGTAATACGAAAGGAAACAGGTATAGCTACAATAGGTTTCTCAGATTGAGCTTTCTCAAATGTTTTAAATGTAAGATAATTAACAAGAGCATTAATAAAAGTAGTTTTACCAACACCTGTTTCACCAAGAAGAAGAATATTAATTGTTTCCATAGTTGATAATTTTGATGATGTGACAGGTAAACGTGTTCTTGTCAATGGTGATGTTGAAATATTTTGATTATCTATAGATGATAAAATTTCTTTATATTTTGATTTATTTTTCTTATTATCATTTTTAATCGTTGGTAAAATTATTATATCATATAATTCATATGTAGAATAAGAAAAATCAGCATAGATAAGACGTGCTTTCGAATTATTATCAAGTTCATCAATTAGATCATTATGTAATTTTTTAAATTGTATTGAATTTTGTTTATTTAATAAATCATTAGAACATAAAATTCGATCAGTATTTTCATCAATGATTAATTTACGTTTCATTGTATCTTCATTATCATTTTTATCAACTTTTCGTTCAATAACATTACAATATTGTATATTTTGACGAGCTAAATCACTAATTAAATGTCCTTTTTTATTAAGATCAATAACATCTTGAAATAAATCAGAAATATTATTTTTTAAAATTATTTGTGTTTTATTATTAAGAATTTTATCTAATATGATATTTTGATTTTGACTATAACGAATTTCAATAATTAATTTAGCTAATTGTTCAATTAGATTTCTATATTCATTTTTGATATCTAACCATTGTTTATATGCATTAGAATAACGTTCTTTAAAATGTCCACATAAAAGACTTGGCATATCTTCTTTAAAACATCTTTCAATAATTTTCATTGAAATCGATAATTCATATAAATATTGTTCAAAATGAATATTTTTTATTGAATCTACATGAGTATCACTTGTATTTGATACAGGACATAGAATATAATACAATTGTTGATATTTAGTAGGATCAGTTCTTAAACGAGATATACTATGAAATATATTATGTAAAGTTGTCATTTCAGTTATAGCTGGTATATTCGAATAAATTTTTGTATTAATAATATGTTTATATGAATTAACATCATCTCGAGTTAATTTAAAATCATTACAATCACCATTTAAATATGCTCGATATTTTTCAAGTATAACATCAATCATCGTAATAATATTATCTTCTTGTGGAAGTTGTAAAATAACAATAATATCAATACCCCAACAGATACCAGTTATAAGATGAGTAGCATTTGTTTTAGTTAGACAAGATTCAAGTCGTTCTCGAATTTTTTCTATTTCATCAGGAAATCGTTCTTCTCGATCAATATAAGTATAATGTAAAATACGAGTATATTCATTTATTATATATGGATAATCAATAATTTCAGCAATGCCAGTTTTTGATGTTAGATTAAGTAAGAGACTTAATCGCAATTGTTCATCAATATTAATCAATTCAAGAAGATTTCGTTTATGATTTTTATCACCTTTTTCAAGAATGCATCGTGTTTTATGATAAAATTGAATTAATGATTCTTCGAAAGTTATATCCAATATACCAACAATTTGATCTTGACATCCATCATATAATGAACCAAGACGGCCGTAAGAATTGATTGCCGTTCGTTTTATTGTTAATTGTAATGTATCTTGTTTTTGTTGTATCGATTGACCTAACATCAGATAATCTTGTAATCTATAAGTTAGAAGTAAAGATTAGTTGTGAAAATTTTACTATTTTCGATTCCACTATCAGTAGTTTTCATTAAACAATCTATCGATGATATGTTGTAAACAAATGAATAGTTAGAAAATTATAGACCCACTTTTAATTCTTTAACATCTTACCTTCAAGACAGTAGTTTTATGTATGATTGCAGCATTAAATGCATTTTTGTTTTGTTTCTTAATGCAACGAATCTGAATTAAAGTAAAAATACCTTTTTTTTTCGTATTCTTCAAAAGTAAAGAATGTAAAAGAGATTCATACTCTATAACAATATTATGATCACAAAAAGTGCAGTGTAAATTCTTATCATAGCAGAAAAAAAAGTATTCGTCAAGCAAAAAAAAAGCAAACGACCGTTTATTTTTTGATACTAGTTACATGTAATTTTAACCTTGTAAATAAATAGTCTGAAAGAAAATTTCATATGATAAAGTTACATTTATTTTAACTAAGAACAGAAAAAAATTTATTATTCTTTTGATGCAATAATTTAGTCATTAGCGTATTTGTTTGTAATAAAAAACAGACACTGTTTGATATAAGAACATATTTATTTTCTCTTGTTGTCTTAATTTTGTTTTTTAGTAAAATAAATTTTATTGAAAGTTTTCAAATAGAAATATACTTTGAGTCTTCACAACAGGTATAGATTATAAACAGTAACAAATTAGTATTTTACTTTGTTTATAATTGATTGAAATAAAAAAAAAGGCTTTTGTTTTTCAATAAATGTGATTTTTATTGTTAATGAAGGTTAAACCTATATTATGCATATAAAAATTCAAATTTTTAGGTATTCACTGGAAAATGAAAGAACAAAATTTCGACCTGAAAGTTTACTTGTAGATAGACCTAATGGTTCTTAGAGTATTTTGAAAGTTCTAATGAAAAATATTGTTTATTTGTTGAGATAATGAATTTTCGAGTAAATTTGTTTTATATTACACTTCCTTTTAATCATAATGACGAACCATCGTAGACTTTTGCTATTCTTAGCAAGACTTGTTGGTAGGCACAATATGAGTTTGTACGAAAAGATACAGTCAGGTTAGGTGTCTCGTTAGATAATTTATCTGAATGTACAGGTTAATAGAACTCATTTACATAATAATTATGTTGTTTTTTGTTCGATAATGTCTTGCTTAATTAAAAATTTATACAAATAATCTACAAGATGTTGAAATAATTCAAAGAGAAAGATGATCTACTTGATTACAAATTTTATCTTGATATTTGCTTCATTCTAATTTTTCATGTGTAATTTCTTCGTTCATACTGTTTGAATAATCAAGAAACAATTAGTTCTTACATCATTATGAGTTTGTGAAGAAGTTTTAATCTATTGCTTCATTATAGTTATAATTTATCGTTCAAGAAAGTTTTCTTCTATTGAAAATAGATTAGCAATAAAAGGTATTGCTGCTTTTGTGCGATAAATAATATTGAGTGATTCGATGATTAGGGTAGTGGAAATAAATGCATTTATATATTTATTTTTTTTAGTAGATCAAGTATATTCAATACAGTTGTAGTTATTGTTTTTTGTTAATTCAAATAAATAAATTTTACTAATGATCTTTATTATTGGCTTTTTTCAAAGAATGGTTCTGTAGCAGAAGTGATTTATTTGGGTCCAAAAATGCCTTGTAATGTGTTCTGCGACTTAGCTAGTAAATCGAATACAAGTATTTTCTTGAAAGATATTAAAAAGGAACGTCACATTTTGGCAAAACTAGTTTAATCTATATTGGAATGTTAATTATCATTCTTGGTATATTCAATTTCTGAGCTATGATTCAATCGCCATTTGTTTTGTTGCATATTAACCAATCAACTCGTTTTCCTATTAGGGTGTGGGTGTGGATCGTTGTACCTGTGGATGTTGATGTTGACTTTCTCGTCTAGGATACCCACACCCAATTGTGTTCTTCACAATTTGTTTTTATCAATTCAATAGAACGAGTATAAACCTTATCACGTATTAGTGTATCGAATCTTCTATTAACATTTAAGAATGAATAAAGTGCATCAATTTTATTCATTTATTCCAAATAACAAGAATTATTTCATCCAGTAGATTCATAATATTAACTATGAAACCATTCATATTTATTTGGAACTATCCATGTATATATCTTGTCAATAAGATTGCAATATAGACAAATTGCGACTTTGTTTAGGCAAAGTTCAAATATTAATTTTGACTAAAATTTTCTTACACAGAATTGAAATTCTAGTGTTTATTTACTGTAAATACAGTTCTCACCATCATTCACAATGTTGTATGATATGTTTAACATACGAATTAGCAAGAACACTGTTTTCAAAGTGAATTAGAATCAGAAGTTCAGTCTTCCATACAACATATAAATGAGAATAATATAAGAATGTTCAATTAAAATGAACTTCATGATTTATTGAAATAATATTTCAAATGGAATTCATTAGCATTAGAAAACTATTATGAATAAAATTCTATTTTCAAATAAAAACTTAACCTTTCATTGAAATAAAACTTTGCTGAAAGCTCATAGTCTACCGAATATAAGAAAGTCGCCAAGCATCACAAATATTCATTGATCTGTGATAATGATGTTCACTGCTATAAATTCAATTAGATGGTTTTTTTTATTCATAGTATTAATTGTTTGTCAAAAAACTGTTTTTAACACAAATGACAAAACAACTCAAAACATCGAAACAAAAAAACGATATGAAAAATGGAACAGCCATCACTATTGTTAATCCATCCCGATTGATAAGACGATGTTAGTGGTGAAGTATCAAAAGTAGCTGGTGTTGATAAATAAAATGCATTATTAAATTGTCTTTTGTTAGTAAATGATGGCGAAAAAATTTAAAGAAATAGAACGTGATGTTCCTGATTGAAAAGATGAGGTACTAAAATCAGTATTACCATTTACGCTAAAAGACAAAAAAATAATCAATCTTATTTTATTGAATTTCTTTCTTACTTATTCGATAATCGATATTGTTATTGATATGTATCATTATTTTGCTAATTGACATGAAGGTTTACTAAAAGAATAGCTCATTTCTATTTCATTTTATGAAAATAATTAAAAAAATGTTCAAGTTGTTGATCAGATAGGAGACAAATTAAATTACATAATATTGTTCAGCTGATTTGAGACGATTAATAATATTGCTTGGTTCCTGTATACATCGTATAATTAATGCTTCTATACCTGGTCGAAATATAATCATTTTCGATGCTATTTCAATATTTATATTTAACATACTCCTAAATAAATTCAAAATGAATATTTCATTAAAAAATATAAATCGAAACCGCTGATTATGACAAATAAAATTTGATTTTAACAACACCAACTATGTAATGTTCATAATCTGCTTTTAAACATCAATAAAAAGAGTAACTAGATCTTGTTTGATCAGTTCTACCACATCTTTATGTTAAATTTCTTTTTGATGTTCAAATAATGACATTATTTGTTTTATTATTAAATAATAAAGATAATGTTTGTTTTACTTTACAATTTTCAATTATAAAAAAGAAACAACATCATCAACCGTTACATCTAATTCAGCTGAAGAAGATAAGCATTAAGCATATTATGAAGTAAGCTATTCTTAGTTCTTTCTGTTCATTTTTCTAATCTTGTTTTAATTTAAAATTAACAAAAAAAAAATGATGGAAAATTCATTTTTTGATTTTTATGATTATGTTTGTTAGTAATCACTTTCTAGTTTCTTTCCCATCTCATTGATGGTATCCATAATTTCATGAGAAATAAATTTGGCAGATGATATCAATTCAATAGCTTTTGCATAATCACTGATATCGAGCTTTTCAAGCGGTGATTTCAGCCCTTGATTAAGTTGCTCATGCATTTTGTTTTGCTCTCCAATAACAAATCGGTTACCTTAACGATAGAAATTTTTATGTTAAATAGTTATGCATTTAATTACTTTGGAATATAAATCTTTATCTTTCTCATCTGTTGACATATATTTTTAATTGAGTTTTTAAATCATAAACGGATAATAATAACTGATTTAATGTCTCGCATTTATGTGTTCGTCCCCTTAAAACGTTTATTTATTTTGGGTATTTCTCTTTCTTCATTTGTTCTGTTATAGAAATTTGTTTTTCTGTTTTTCTTTTGCTTCGAAAAATCCACGTGACATAAATACACATTAGATGTATGAATATCACGCCAAGAGTATCTTTGAATCCTATAAAATAAAATAAATATAAATATCTAAGAGATCTTTTTTTGAAACAAAATCCAACCTGACTTTGGATCAATAATATTTCCATATATTAATTTTAATTTCATTTTATCTTGTACAGTTTTATTTAATCGAGCAGAAAATGCAATAAAATTTGATTCATATTTAAATATTGTTCTTAATAATTTATGTTCAGATTAAACTGATGTTGTTGCAAATAATTATCGTTTGGATTTGTTTTTCATATCTCGATTTATGCTTATTTATTGTCAGATATCTGGATAAAATTCTCCATGTAAAAATTCCATGTTTTTCCACTGTTATTGGTGAACGATCATTTTTTAATATCATTCAAAAATTCTTGGGAGATAATGAAAATATTTAATCTTCCAACATCTTGAAGTTTTTTACTCATTTTTTGAATTTCCTCTTTTTATAAAAAGATCAAAATCAAATTAAAGAATTTAAATGAGAAAATTCCTTATATTAATAAAAACTCCAACAGTATCATCATTTTCTGATGAAAATATTTCACCAAATCGTTCAACTTCTTTTGGTATGGTTGTAACAGAATTCGATAAACGATCAGCTGATGATACAACATAACCAGAAAGTAATAACCTGGAATCATATGTTGATCTAGGGTGGATGGGTTTGGATGGGGTTGTTAGAAAAGACTACATCCACACACACCTACACTTAGTTCCGAAACGTGAATATGAAACAATGTTTCACGGAATTCTTCTCATATGGATTGGTAATGTTTTCATTTATTTATGTTTACTTGCTCTACAATGTTTTTAGTGTATTATTCGCTCTAGGGCACACTAACTGTCGTTTCATTATTTCTTTGTTCTTCTTATTTATGTATATATGGTTGTATATACTTCTTTTTTCCTTTCACCTCTTTTCGTTTTATGTACTGACAAGACCCAACTGGTCATCAGAAAGGCTAGTAAAAAAACAAAGGCAAGTATCATGGGTGTGGGCGTGGGTATTTGTCTTGTCTTTATTCTCACCAACACCAACACCCACACTTCATGATTTCTTCGAACACTAATGAAAGTAATTCTTTCTTTTAATTAATAGTTAAATAAAAATAAATAGAGAAGACGAATAAAAATAGGTTGCTCATGTTTACATGAGCTAATGCAGTAAAGAAAAAAAAATGTGTGTCTGTTCTAAGTAACAGGAAAACCTAGTTTAAAATATTAATCAGGCTCATATCATCATTGATGTGTTCTACTCATAATTATAATATGGAACTTCAGTTATAATATCGTTGTCGTTTGTGACACACACAACACGAGTTGGATCATACATTCGGTCTTGTTGTCCATTCCTCGCATTATATGGAGTTAAACCTATGACAGAAACGAAAGATAGATTTTAGTGAATACAGATTTAAATTGAATGATTAAACTTACTACTATCAAATTCTGAAATTTTTTGACAGGCTGCTTGGAATGTTTGTCCAACCAATTCAGGCCATTCTTTACGTCCAGACATTATTTTTGTAAATATCTAAGACACAAATCGACCGATTTCAAATTAAAAACTCTTACGACTTTTTGATAAAATTCTTCTTTTATATCTTGAAATGTTTTCAACATTTTATACGAGAATAAAATGAAAGATATCTTATCATATTTTTTCTGTGTATAAATAGAGACAGAAGCGTAGAAAAAGAAAATGAAATGAAAGGGGTCATCAGGTGATGAAATTGAATCCCCCCTAGAAGTTGAGTTTCTTATTTCTCCAATAGCCAATCCAAATGTGAAATGTCGGTTGCCATTCAAATTAGATCGTTAGACTTAATTCGGCTGTGCTCGCCTAACTCAAAACTCGATATTATCGATCTCCCACAGTGTCATGCAATGCTGTGTTTACCTGAAAAGTTTTTTTCTCTTCTTCAGCTCCTTTATTTTGACTATTATATTAAATAGCAGCTCTTTTTTTCCTCTATCCAATAGTATATACGAGTATGACAAAAAATTGCTATTTCTCTTTTTCTCTTACCAGGGAACCTTGCCAGATGATAAATCGCTTTTCGAATGAGTCTTATCTCATTAGGCAGGGCCTATTGAGACTAGAAAAAACCTAAAATGATTCGTCCCAACGGTCTTTCTTCTTGAGTTATGCCCATTTTATTCAGTTTTTCAAAAAATGCCGTGGTTCTACTGAGGTCATCTTCAAGATTGACTTTCAAGTTTCGAGTTAAAACTTTGCACAAATAAAGTTTTCAGTCGGACTACCACATTGTGAACATTTCTGATCTTCTACTATCTCTTATCTTGAGATATGAATATAAGAACAAAGTTTACTTTTTCGCATAACATAATTTTGAATATTCGTTTCTCAGGATAGGATATACTAGAATATCTGAAATCTTCATAATGTATTAGCTTCACTGAGAACTTCATTTGTGGAAAGTTTGAACTCGAAACTTGAAAGTCAATTTTGAAGGTGACCTGAGCAGAACCGCAGTATTGGGTTCAAAAAATCAGTAAAATGAGCATAATTCAAGAAGAAAGACTCACGAGCATGAATCATTTTAGGCTTTTTTCAGTCTCAATAGGCCCTATCTAGTGTGATAAGACTCATATAAAAAGCAATTTATCACCTGGCGAGATTCCCTCGTTAGATAACATTATTCGTTTAAACGTACAATATGAAGAGTACCCATGACAAAATTCCTTCACTATTGAGTTGTGAAAGGTAGCGATCCAATTTGAATTAAATATCGTTCGATAGGCTTTTTAAAGTTCTACAAAATGATATTATAGCCTGGAGTCTAATTTATGGCCAACACACTTTAACAGTTTGAGTCTCATAGTAGCAAAAATGTTACAAATGTTTTATAATTATTTTTCACAACATAATTTATAAAAATTAGTACGGAATTTCTTGGAATGCAGTAATGGAGAATACACCAATGAATAGCAAATGCATTTACGTGGCGCTGTTCGTAAAAACTTTTCAGAATTTACTTTGAGGTAGTACAGGCTAGCCCATAAATAAAATTAGGATAAAAAATTCAAATACAGGCTAGATCAAAAGAAAGGAAACAGTGAATTGTTTTCAACATTTTTTCTTTATAGATCGATAGTGAAATCTCATATCTGGATCACAGATCTTAAATGGCAATATTCAGAAAAAGAGTCTATCATCAGCCTTTGGCTATAAGAGTTTGTCGAAAACATACGAATGTCTCTCATACACTATTATATGACTATCGTATAAGCCTGCTGCTGCCTAATTGAAGTCAATGTCTTTTTTCGTTATTTGTCGTTTTTGAGTAGCTTCCTGCGCAACGAGTCTAAAACAATGTAAAGACCAATATAATTCAAATCGTTTGGTACATTTTGATGCAAACAGGTGGGTGTGGGTACAAGTATTGTCTTCAAGTCACGAACAAAAGCAGTTACATCCACATCCAGTTATTTTCTCACATGGTGTTTACGATTTTATTATTTTCTCGATGTTCTACATGCACGGTATTTTGCCTCGACGTCCTTCATATCCTTTTAACCAACAGTATCATGGGCAAAATTGCTACACTCAGACAACACTAACAAGGGAACATTCCAAGGTGCTGGAGCGTTTTTCAGCAGGAGTTTCGCGCATCTTGTAGCCCATAGTGAACTGTATCTATGGTAAAAAGAATTTCGGTTTTCTGGCTTGTTTCTGAGGCGGTAGAGCATTTCTATTATTACAACTATATGAGTTATCTTATCAGCAAAAAAGTATTATGTCAAACAATACTCGTTGAAACGAATTGAGATTTTTCTCATATATAGTTGTACTCATGTGGGACATAATGTGCAAGTTTGAGCTCAAACAACCTTGAGAAGATTCAGTTATCAATTTTAGACAATATTAATGTCGTTCTATATGTCATTATATATAGTATTTCCCATAATTGTAAGATAATTGTAGTCTTTCACAATAGTATGTTTATTTGCATTTCTGTCCTAATGTGAACAACGTGTACCGGTAGCATTACTTACCGAAAGAAAAAAAAGATAAAAAAAGAGTTAATCTATATGTCCCAAAACAATTACTTTAAGCTAAACTATATAGACTATGATGAAAATGATAATCAGAAAAGAAATGTTGGAAACAGAAGTTGCTTCTACAGCAAACTGCAAAAAATAAAGGAAGACGATTCACAACAGCCACCACTGCCTGAAACATTATGAAATATAAAGCACACCTGTTTGACAGAGAAAAAAGAACCTGGATGATTGTCTATATATCCACTTACGTGCCAAGCATATTGCAACATTTTTCGAAAAACAGGAGCACATAGTTGATTATAAATAAGAGACTGGCTATGAATGATACAATTACCTTCACTTAAATTAATATCAAGGCCATTAAGTAGTACTCGATCGAACATACGACGAGCGATATATTTATGCTGATTATTGTAAAAAAAGGATGTGGATGTGGTTGTGGGGCGTCTGTGTGGGTGTGGGGTATGGTTATGGGTGTACTTCTTCACTTTATCTACACCCATACCCTTCCACACCCCACACCCCACATCCTACACCCTCAAGCTATATAAACTTTTTTTTCTCTGTTTGTATTGTCTTATTATATTTGACGTTCTGTTGTTATTTATGTTCATATTTTTAACTTAATCGCTATTTTTGTTGTTGTCTTTCGTTTTTCTTCGTTATTTTATAATTTTGTTATATTTGTTGCATTGTCATAAAAATGTTGACAGGACACAGTTTTTTGTTCAAAAGGGGAGTATGTTACGGTGATGTCGCACGTTAGCATATTCACTCTCTTCTTGTTATCCTCTATTCTCTTTCATCAACTTGTATCTCTAATTGATTTCATTCCTTTCGTTCTTACATAGATGTTATATATGTTATGTTTCTTTTTCCTTTCCATGTATAATAAAGATGGCGCATAAATATCAGCATATATATCATCTATATATATGAGAATTGCATTTTTGTGGTACAATTATATTTTTGAAGTATTTTTCCTATAACTCCATTTCCTGCTGTCTGATGCCCGAAGTATTTTTGTTTGTTTTGTTCACTCATATGTGTCGCACTATCACAGAAAATATCGGTCCGATTGCTCAATAACTCGTCGAGATAGAGACGCAAAATATTAAAAATATACGTTTTTTCAAAGAGTCACCGTACAAAAAATAGATTTCCTAAAGAAGAAAAGCAAAAAGCAAAAACAGTAATACCCTTGTTTTATTCAGCGTTTAACAAGCTATTCAAATACATGATTCGTTGATATAATTGTTATTTGTTTCTTGCTCGTCCAAGACCAAAACACTTTTACAAACACTTTTTCTCTTTTATGTAGAGTAACACTAAACCTTTCCTAGCCGACGGAGGAACGCAGTTAGGAATCCAGGAACTCCTTCAAAGGAAAGAGCTCTTTTCAAGTAACCAAATGGTCAAAAAAATTTTAAGTTTTCTCGATATTATTTTCGAGAAAAGTAAGCAAACTTTTTCAAAAATCGATTTTTCACTCATTTTGTGGAGTAACATTTTGAAAATTATTTTAGGTTTATCTCCAGATATATTGAACCGATCTCGCTGAAATTCGCACATAAGAGAGAGCATAAAAACTTGTACCTTTCATAAAAATTTCAGCGTGATTTAATCAATTCTTCCTAAAAAACTTTGCATTATACGACGAAATGTAGAGTAACATTTTTTTTGTTTTTATGTAGAGAAACGCTTTTGACGAGTTTTTTGACATCGACTGACTTAAATAGACACTTGGCTATAGCCTCATGAATTACGATATTATATTGTTGATGAAATACAAATAACCAATACTCGTTGTCTCTTAATTGATTACCCATTCATTCCAAGTTATTGGAATACCCGTGATGAGCAGAAAAAAAGTGTTGTGATAGAAATAAAAGGAAAACTTGTTAACATTGACACCATTGAAACTGTCTTAATATATATAGATCCAGAGATATCTCAGCTTCCTGACATGTAGTAGTTGGGAAAATTTCACCTTATACTAAGTAGACGATGCTGAATAATATGCACGTCTTAAAATTCTGCTCAATACACTTTCATTTTTTTTTGCCAATTGTACAACAAAAATGCGATTCTCTCATATATAGAAAGAAAAGAGGAAGGAAACACTCACAGTAGTTTTGATAGTTGCGTAGGGATCGAAAACGTATCTGCATTTGATGTTCGATTTTTCAATCAAACTAATCAGTAGAAGCATATATTATAGAGCAATTTTTATTAAATAATCCTTCCCCCTCCCCCGCCCCCCCTCCAGCATGCCCCAATGCCAGTTTTTGCGTTATTTGATAAAGAAATGTTCATTCTTTCATTTTTCATCGCCTTTATCCATTTTTCATAAAGTGAACCTCGATTTTCAACGGAGAATTCTAACCCAGGGGGTGGGGATTTAAAATAAAAACTTAACAAATTCAAAAATATAATATGAAATATTTTATAAATGCATCACAGTGGCATACCAGAACGAGTTGACTTAAGAATGCAGCGGTGATGATTGTCTATCGTTACCATTGCATCCATAGCTTGATCATGAAAAATCAAAATCATTATCATTATCATCACCCTTATTGTCCTGACTGAGATAATCATCTGGAGACTCTATTGAACATGTAACAGTAGAATATTGTTGATTGCGTACTGACTGGGATACACGAGGTCGAGTGATCATTTTCTCTACACAGAAGAAAGACTAGTACAATAAAAGAAAGAATCAAAGACACTTACGTTCTCGAATAATGGAAGTAAATGATATTGGAGATACAGGTATATATCGTTCATTTTCAACGACGCATAATTGAAATGCTAGTCTGCATAAATCAAGTTGTTTGGCTTGGATAATTTCTTTTGTTATCCATTGATTTTGATATAAATTGAACATGTGAATTCGTATTCTATATACAAAATACATTAAAATGATAGTAAAATCGTCAAGAAAAAAAATAACTTCAATCAGTTACTCTTTTAATTGAGCACTATGCTCTGCCGGAGTAATCTGTAAGTAGATTTGTCTTGTGATTGGATCAAAATAGTCGGTCGAATTACATTCATCGAAATTCAAACAGCTGAGATTATTATCCTGAGAAAGTTGATCCATCCGCACTATTGTTTTTGGTGGTACAACTACTTTAGATTCATGAGGCTGCATATCATGAGTCATAACTGATATTTTAACATACATCAGTCGAGAATATTCGTTAGGAACCTGCGAATTATATAAGTTTTTCTATGATAAATTGTCATCATAATGATTAAAAGTCTACTGTTATTCGGATTGGTGTTCGCTGAGGACCATCACCAGGGAGGAAAGGAATATGTTTTTTTGCTAAATCTTTTATACTTCGATAATGCCAGTCTGTTTTTGGTTCCGTTAAAACTTTTGGTTCATCATATAAATGACTTGATAGCATTTGTCTATCACAACTATTATTAGCTTTCACGCATAAAACATCAGGTGATCGAGGAACACATCGATCGAATTTACCGGTTTTTGATAAATCGAGAGGAGAATTCTGTGAATCATTACTATCAGTTATGGGATGGAACTGGTTATCAACACCGTTCGTATCAATTTCTAAATTCATACAAAAAATAATACTCATGTAAAAAAATTCAGCATTTGTTTAGAATAAAAGTGAATAAGTCATACAGAATATGATCAGTTTGATTTTTTCGAAAGAATTTTTTGAAATTATTTTAAAAATAATGCAATATAGTATACATATGTATGTATATACATACCAGGATAATTGATTTGGCCTACCATGCTGGAAGATGATAATAAATATGTCAATTTTCTTTTTTGGGCCGGTAATAATATCTGAAATATAAAGATAAAAAGCTATTGTTTTTCAATCGTTTTGACATTATGCTAGATTTGGAAACCATTATGAGAATGATAACAGAACAAAACCAGCTGAATGAAAAGACTAAACTAAGAACATCATAGATTATATTTATTCAAACTATTGCTATTAGTTAATATTAAATTATTATTAATTGTTTTATTTGAATTTGATTAAATTCAGCCTTTATTGATATAATTATTGTCCATAATTGAAAAGCATTTAATTTCATATTATTCTTGTATCGAAACAATTCTGTTGGGTGTTAACATGTAACTTATACTGAAAAATTTCGTGAAATAAATCGAGTATATTAATTTTGTAAATATTCAGCTGAATTTTATAACGTCCCAATTGATTGTTTACACAAGTCAAATTGAAATTCATATTATTTTTACACTTCTCATTAAATCAAACTATGATTATTCGAAATATGCTGAATAATCATTGAAAAAAAATATTCCATGATTGTTCAATCTCAGCTCCTTTTCTGTTGGCTTGCTTTTATTATTCCAACTCCAGACTTTGTACTTTTGTTGTTTCAAGAGGTATCGTGGAGGCAACAGAACGAAATAGTAATACTGAGTCGTTCGAAAAGTATGAGTCACATTTACCTTCAAATATTTGTCCTACATCAATTGGAAAATGACCTGTAAATAGTGATGGTATTTAGCATAATTACGTGTCAAGACAAATACTAAGCTTCTGAATCAGACATGACGCACATTGAGCAATAGATCTTGAAAGATCCTAACTAATTGAAAATAACATATTATAGAAATAATGATAAGAAAAAAGTCAATAAATGCGATATAGTGAAATATCATAAATCCACAGATAAAAATAATAACGTCACCTGAAAATGGCTTACAGAAGAAACACGAAAAATTATTGTTGATCTTTGCATGCTGTTAAAAAGAAGCGCATGCAACTATGATCAGTATAAAATTCTAACGTAAACATTATATTTAGTGGTTATTATAACTTTGTAAAACAAAATGTCATATTTTTTTCTATTAGAACTTTAAGTGAAAATTGATGAAAAGAACTGACCAACTAAAGTTTCCTTCAGAATATTCCATATTTCGCATGAAATCATGTTACAATCTACATGCAAGTTGTGTAAACTCTTTCCCACAATAGGAAACTCCGAGTCTTCAAGTGTGTCTCAATTATTTTTATAATTTTTACCTAATATGGATTTTTGAAGAGATTCTTAGAGTTTTACAAGTCTAAAAATAATGTTTACTGCAATCTTTTAACGCTTTTCTTGGTAAAATCCTAAAAACTACTCATATTTGATATAAATATACTAAATAAAGCTCCAATTCTACGATCAAATAAATTAATGGAAGTAAGTCTTTTCTTGCGGGAAGAAGTTTAGTGTCTAATATTATTTCATTTCAGATTCACAAAAACATTTTAAAAGATGAATAATCATGTTTGTTACCATTTCTATTCGCTTTGATATGCTTTCGAAAAAAGCTTGTCAAATAATATGATAACATTAGTCTAAAACAGATGAATGAAAAAGAGTAGTGTATTTTTATTAACCGTGGTACGTACGTTGCTCACTTTCGAGAAAAACAGGTCTTTAATACATGCATAGTTGGTATAATGCATGAACTATATAAGAAATATCCAACATGATGACTAATAGGAAGGAAAAAAATGAAACTAAATGTCTACGCCTACGAAAGAATAGATTTCGCCATAACTATACACAAGTTATAAATTTGCTTAAAACAAAACTAAGAAAAAGAAAGTAAAAGGAAAAAAACAACAGCTTTTATGTCACCTGTAAAGGAAGAATAATAAATATTTCCATTACGAATATAATACTTGAAAATTTCTTCGAAAAATTTTATCTCAAGTGTCATGTTACAAGTTACCTTGGAAAAGTAATACTTAGAATTTTGATAATTAGTTTGTTATAGAAAATTTTACAAGAGGCTATACAGCATTTGTCACCAATATGCAGGTAAGTATGAAAAACTTAACAAACATAGTGAATTATTTATTTGTCGATGATGAGTAATATCAAAAGAAAAACATGAAAGTGATAACGTTGACATTAGTAATATGGGCAGAAAACAAGTGCCTTATGAAACTATCAATCGAAATATTCTGTCGTGGGCGTGGACTGTGGGTGTGGGTGTGGCTATTCTCTTCTTCTACACTCACATCCACACCCCATAACATAAATGAATGAAGGAGAAGTATACCACCAAATGACGAAATTTGCATGATAGTTTCGTTCGAACCGATCAATATTGCTTGACGAGCCGTAATTATAACGTCGACAATAGGGAGTAAAGCCATTAATTGATTGTGCATTGTATTTCATTTTCAATAAAATTTCTTTGAATATTTGTGTATACATGAACGTTGGATCCAATTGATCGAGTTTTCGACTGGAAATTTCTCCATTTGCCGGGACGAAACTTATCGCAATGCAGCCTTGATTACAATGTTTCACAGCCATTTGCAGTGCTTCACATAACTGCTCACTATTAGTATGTACTCCCTTGATTTTTCCCCATTGTTTTGTCCACTTATGATTTATGGATTTGTTGCCGCAAAAGATGTAAACTCAATCAAGTTGTGAACAATCATGAATGAGAGGTATTATTTGTTGATCGAGAGTAACTTCGGTAATGAGGAATGCCTTGCTCTGTTCAATGTTGGTGAGAAAATCGATGGCTTTGTTAGGTCGAGTAAAAACATTGACGTCACTGATGATTGTTTGTAATTGAGATAACGTGTTTTGACAATTCTTGTTCTACATGTTGACGCTAGCATCGACCCAGAGAAGTAAATAATTTTCAGCGATACATCACCTTCGCTTACCGACACCAGAGGATGCCGTTGTTGTGGTCGATGTAACTTTTTTCTTTGAATGTTCTCTTTCCATATTGTGTGTAATCGGATAATTTGATACTGAGTTTATGTGTTAATTCAATGAACAGTGGTGAAAATGGTAAATGAGTTTTCGTATATACATAAAACCGGTCCTGTTTGTTTGCGTATTTTTATGGTGTTATTCGCTATCTTTGTTTGCTTTGAAACTCATCGTAGAATATTGTCCTGCTATAAAGATAATGAAATGAATAAAAAGAACAAGAAAGAGTTGTTTTCTTTCCAACTTTCTTCAATGGTAAGAGATGAGGCTCTTACATACGAAATCGAATAACCTATTCTAAACAACGTAATGGCGTATACGCTGCATCTGCCAGAATTCTGCTAAGGATTTGAAAATCCCAGCAGAATTGTGAGCATGTCGAGTTTCGACATTGATGTTTGTTCCTGTACAACAGTTTCATATGCCTGAAATGATAACTGTGATTGAATTCTGTTGTGTCAATAGAATTCTCTTATTATTCTGCTGGATAATTTGAATTCTCAACAGAGTTCTGGTCAATCAAAGATATGCTCCATTGTGCTTCTGTGGTGAAGTTTGAAGTCTCAAGCGTATCGCTTACTGTTAAAATTTTGCTGCTTTTTCACACCTCGATAGAATTTTGTTCAAACTGTTTTAATATTCCATATCCTCATATAGAATAGAGCTCTGTCAAGAATTTGACAATTACATCAGAATTCTTGACAGAATTCTGTCCATGGTATGAGAACTGATACTCGCTTGAGCCGAGACTATGTGGTGCAAGCCCTATATTGTGTTTGTATTCTGCTGGTGTCCATAGGATTCTGTTTGAATTCTGCTGATGTTTTTTGAATTCTTTACAGAATTCTGACGACATAGAACTGAAGCGAGGTTAGACTGCGTGGTGGATGATCCATTGTTTATCAAGGATCTCTTTTGAATTCTGAATTATGCTGACAAGAATTCTACAGATCCTCCCCACTACTGGTGAGAAACTCGTTGTTTTGCATTTGTTATGGGTTTTCAAACTTAATATCACATAGATCACATCTTTCTCTTTGAATACCGTGCAAATTCGATTCTCCTAAATAGACGAACAATAATTTGTCATTCTCCGAATGCTATCTACAGGATTGTGGAGCTCCCAAAATATTACCAATAATTTGGTGAAGCTTCTGATTGTTTCCAGAGATGAGCATCTATTAGGTGTGTATGAGTGTAGATGTGGGTGGGATGTGGGCGTGGATGTGGATGTGAGCGTAGGTGTGCGTGTATGGTTCTCTTGAACCACACCCACACCCACGCCCTCACACCCTTTTAAAAAATTCTGAATAAGTAACTGAAACTTCACCAATCATTCAGAGTAGCTAAAAATAAAAAAGTTGAACACAGTAGTCAGTATTTATAAATGCATTCATAAAATACAGTACGTCTGGGATGTTGACATCGATCAGTATAATATCCACCCTATTGATCAAGTATTCCGTAATGTAGACAAACACCACAATCACGTGTTGGAGTCAGTGGAAGGCTATTAGTACGAAAAGAAAGATAAGGTAAAAGAATTGCATGGGAAGATGTTACTTTACGATTGCACTAAATAGATACTCAATTATTTATTTTGTTATAGTATTAGTTTATACGGCATTGTCTTGAATTAGACACCTAACAAAAAAAAACAGGAAATGATATTACTGGATTACATATAAGATCAGATCTACAACATTCAGAAGTTCAATTTGGGAAATTTCTTCATGTCTCGTCGAAGACACTATTATGAAAATCTACTTTTCTTATCTTAAACTTTCAGATTTGAAATTTTGCACATTTTCTCACTTGCCGTTATACTTCAGCGAAA